AGCCCCGATAGCAGGACTGGGACCTAAGTAGCTTATGGCTTACATTGCCTTCTTCGGCATTATTCTGACTTCCTTTATTGGGAAGGAGCAAGAAGTGCAAACCTAAACAGCATGATAAAAAGTAGAGACATCACCCTGCCAACAAAAGTCCGCATGGTCAAAGCAATGGTATTCCCACTAGTAATGTATGGCTGCAATAGTTGGACTATAAGGGAGGCCGAGCGCCGAAGAATAGATTCTTTTGAACTATGGTGCTGGAGAAGACTCTTGAGAGTCCCTTGGACTGCAAGAAGATCAAATCAGTCAATCCTAAAAGAAATCAACCCTGACTGTTCCCTGGAAGGCCAGATAATGAAACTGAAGCTCAAATACTTTGGCCACCAAATGAGAAGGGAGCACTCACTGGAGAAGACCCTGATGCTGGGAAAGACTGAAGGTCAAAGAAGACGGGGACGGCAAAGGATGAGATGGTTAGACAGTGTCATAGATGCAACGGACATGAAGTTGAGCCAACTTCAGGGGACGGTGGAAGACAGGAGGGCCTGGCGGGAGCTGGTCCATGGGGTCGCGAAGAGTCGGACTCGACTGTGCGACTGAACAACAACAAAGAAGTGCAGGGACAGAAGGCCTGCTACCTAGCTGCTTGAAATTCCAGTGAACCCTTCTCTGGGTCTGCAGATTTCACGGGCTATTTCACAAGAACCTTCAGGCCTTGTTTCATTACCACAGGGACTAGAAACTTGCTTTTTCTAAAAAATACAGGTCAAGAGCAAGTTTCTAGCCCCTGTGATAATGAAACAAGGCTTGAGAGTGCTTGTGGGTGAAGTCGTAGGTCGCTGTGTTGGTCTCCAGCAAAAAGCAGAGACAAATGTTGGGTGCTATGTTTTATTGGGACCAACCAACATATAAAACGGTGCAAGCTTTTGACTTACCGAGAACTTTGCATCTGACTGAATGTTAAATGCACAAAGGCATGGGAAGGGGGCGGGTGGGAATTTGAAATGTTGTTCTGGCTATGATGAAATGACGGCTCATATCCCTCCCCCCCCCCAAAAAAAAACTTTAAGGGACCAGTGCAGGAGAGACAGTTGGCTAACTGCTCATTTTTTTGGTCTTTGAATGGAGACTGCCATTTTTTCCTTCTTCCCAGGAGGCTTTGGTACAATTTTAAACCAGTTGCACCCAACACCATCAAACATAATTAAGACTGCAGCACATTTTGAACAAATTACAGTCCAGAGGTCTTTCCACCATGGTCTAAAAAATAAAATAAAATCCTTTCCTCCCCACCGCCTCAGTTTTTAAAAATATCCAGCCTGAGAATTCTCAAAAACTTGCACACAGTTTTGTGATATTTTGGCTGCTCCTACTAAAAGATATTGCATGGTCCCCCACCCCAGAGATGGGTTGCTTCTGCCCAGGCCTGTAGCCAGGATTTTGTGGCTTGTGGGGCAAAACTTTTCTTGCCATAATAAAGGGGGGTGCCATGTGCGCCCCTTTCCCTCCCCTCCTGCACGATTTAAGGGGCCCTTCAGCTGATCAATGAGGAGCACGGGGCCCACCCATCAGCTGGAGGGCCCTTTAAATTTTGCAGAAGGGGAGGGAGAGGGGCAGGTGCCACCTCCCTTCTCCAAAGCATTTAAAGGATCCCTTTAAATGCTTTTGGGGAGAAGCAGGGGGCTTTAATAGCTCCACTGTAACCACTGTTCCCTCTAAGCTGTGGAGTCTTGTGAGCAAAAATTGTACTTTGTGAGCTGCTGGCATTAAAGTTGTGAGTGAGCGATTTGGCTGCTGCCTAAATTAGTTTGCTCTAGAGCCCTCCTTCCTGAGCGGAGACAAAAATGTGTGAGCTGGAGGCTAGAAAACTGAGCTAGCTCACACTCACTCAGCTTAGAGGGAACACTGAAGTCTGTAACTATGGGCCAGCATCTGCCAATAATCTGCAGGTAAGCAAACACACCAGTGGCTGCAGAACAGCAATGAAAAACATCTCTCGAGGCCTGTCTGAACTATCCTCAGCCCCAAAACTGTGTAGTCAAATGGATACTCTCAGCTGTCTGTAATGGTTGCAACATGATAGGCTTCAGAGGATCAGCAGTTCCTTAGGTACGCAAGGCCAGTGTGTTTAGCACCAGGGGACATGTTCAGACATCAGTTGCAAAAAGTAACGACAGGCGTGCTGTCGCACAGAACAGACCCTGTTTATTTTGCCTAGATATCACAGGGTGTAGCATTCCCTGAGTAGCAACATGCTGCCTAAGCAGACGGTGCAAAAACTGTTGAAGATGCAAAACCTTAGCGCAGCTCAAATGATCACAGAGCAGCGCAGGCAGTCATTCAACTTCAAATGACACTTGGGCATGGCCTGCACACCTGTCCTTTGATCCTCTCTGTTTCTGACTCCACAGTTACGCTGCACAGCAATGGTTATTTTGCAAGAACCCCCCATTTGAAAGAAAGAGGTTATTACAGCCTCACCTTTCATTTCACAGCATATCAGTGGAGGGCCTGTGGGCCATTAACCGTTCAGAAGAGAAACGCTTGGGAAAGCTCTCAAGTTGCTCAGCCCTGAATTGAGTGCAAACATTTGACAAAGGTAGGGTATAGAGAGCCAACTTGGTGTAGTGATTAAGATCGGCAGACTCTAATCTGGAGAACTGGGTTTGATTCCCCACTCCTCCCCATGAAGCTAGTTGGGTGACCTTGGGCCAGTCACAGTTCTCTCAGAGCTCTCTCAGCCCCACTTACCTCTCAGGGTGTGTGCCGCGGGGAGAGGAAGGCAAGGCGATTGTAATCTGCTCTGAGACAGCTTCGGGTAGTGAAAAGCAGGGTATAAAAACCAACTCTTCTTCGTCTTCTAAGGTTGATCCCCTAAATTCTTGCACTAGCAAGTGATCGGTTATCTTCAGCCAGGAGGGAGTGCTGCACTGTTGCCTTGCACACGTGAACACATGAAGCTGCCTTCTGCTGAGTCGGACCCTTGTTCTCTCGAAGTCAGTGTTGTCTACTCTGACCAGCAGTGGTTCTCCCGGGTATCAGGTCTTTCACATCACCTACAGCACGATCCTTTTAACTGGAGATACTGGGGACTGAACTCGAGACCTTCTGCATGCAAAGCAGATGCACTGTCTAATAGCCATGGTTCCTCTCCGACATCATCATGGCATGATGTACTTCTTTCATTAATCATTTTAAAAAAGTGTTACATTATGCAGTCAGATGCCGCTGTGACACTTGGTCACTCCTCCTGTGGAGAGTTTAAGGAAAAAGGGAAGTAGCTGCTTAAAAGATCACGTGCTACCAATACCTCACTGGGAGACGACTCTGGGGCACATTTCTGCACATTTGTCAACTTCCAATCCCATGGGTAAGCCCAGAATTGCCAGCACTTGGGGCTCCAGAGAAACGGTGTGTGTGTGGGGGGTGTGTGTCTTTGCTGAGCGAGCTTTTAAATGACTATCATTTGGCTTTGAGTTTGTCTAAGCCTACTCCATCCGTGGTCCAGAGCGGTTTTGGATTTTCCAGGAGGCGCCGACATGCAGACACATGATTATATCTATGTACATATGACTAACTACTTCTTGGTAATACCCAAAGAGAAACTTACCTTGGGGATATATAAAAGCTACCTCCCGCATCTGGCTGATATTGTATCACCTAAAGCTGCTTTCCTTTGATCTTCAGCTTAGTTGCCGCTTCTTAGTCAGCTCAACAGAACAGCATTTATGCCAAGGAGATCCACATGGTTAATATGGAGGATTCAGATTTTTTGAGATTTTAGTCAGTAATCTTATTGGCTACAATGCAAAGAGGCTTTTGCATACATCAAAAGAAGTCTGCTTGTGCAAAAAAATTGCCATGTACAAAGTTCTGTTTAGGCATGACCAAGAGAATCCTGTAACATATCCTTTGATGAGTCAGGGTGGCTGCACTGGTGAACACTTTGAACGTCTCTGCAGCTTCACACAAGGTTATATAGTTGAAATACTTACCTCTGAGCATCACAGGCATTGGGTAACAGCAGAAGTATCCCAAGGCTACTTAACAATCTTTGCAGTGTAGCGGCTATTTTGATCTCCTAATGCAACTATGTGAAATAACTGCATGAATATTGTTGGAATTCATCTAAATTAGACATGCTTCAAAATCACTCTTAAAGAGAGTTCGGGGCCCCTTTGGCCCCTGAGACAAAGTCACATCTCAGAAAATCTGAAATTTTCGCACTGAATTTTACAGAGTTGTGTTGTTACTTGGTTGTTTGTTGTTACAGGAAGAATCTAAAGCACTTGAAATGGCTGACTCCCAGAATATAAAGTATAATCAATTTGCAACTCTGAGCACAGAAACAAATAACTTGTTTCCAAATAAATGTGCAGAAATGTGCCCCAAGAGGGGACAGCTTATGTAGGAGGAACTGATATGAAGTAGGGTTTGTTTTGAAAAAGTAATTGGGACTAAAAGTATGGGTTGGATCCAGCCAGCTTTTCCACTGGTGAGAAAGGGACAAAAGAACCCTTTTTAACTACCAAAATGGCGCTATGTTGGAGATAAATCCATCTCCATGGACAAAAACCATGTGGGACAGGGACTGTAATATGGAGACAAATTAGCCCAGACTGAGCAAAACAGTTGGTTTTCTCAAGAATTTCTCAAGAAATTGCCACAACCTTAACTGCCTTGTTGTTGTCACCCAAATTAAGCTCAAATGAAATATACATTATATTCCCCCAAAAGTAAAAGAAGTATCCAACCGATGACACCTGAAAAACTCAGGCCACGCATACGCCATAAAGAGGAATGCTGTTTTTCTTTTTTTAAAGGTGCTTCATGGTCTTTATGGAATGTTGCAAACATATACATAGATGCAGAATACCACTTTATATATTCAAAATGATAAAGGAACAGATAAAGATTGCTGAAAACCGATATAATTTCCAAACCATAAAAAGGAATTTGAAATATTTAATACAAAATATCTACAAAAAATAAATGATCAGGTTTTATTAATTATTACTTATATACATGACATAGAAAATATTTCCAGTTCTTTTCTTAAGTGTTAATTCTTTGTTGCAGAGTGTCAGTTTGATGCGTCTCAGTAAGATGCCATTTGTACCAAAGAGCGTTTAAACAACTGGGCGTAGTGGGAGAGTTCTGTCACCCGGTCCACCATCTCTTGCAAGGACGCCGTGCTGGGATAATTCAAGGCGGCCCCCTTGGTCGCCATCACGATGCTTTTGAGCAACTCGCAAAGCTGGTTGCTGGAGTTCATAACGCTGTTGCGTATTTCCTGAGTGGCCAGCTGCCTTGTCAGGGTATCCCCGATGAACACCAGTTTGTGAGCGATTAAGATAACAAACTTGCTGTGCGCGACAAAGATCCGTGGCGGCTGGGCGGCGCTGATGCAGCTGAAGAAGGCGTCGATGGCGTTCAGGAGGGAAATGAAATGAGTCTCGCATTGATCCGAGTAAAACAAAAGCAGCTGCCTGTCCTGAGAGGCCAGCAGGCTGTTCGTGGCATGGAGGCCTTGAGGTGGCTTCCATTTGGAGATGTCGTTTTCCACGGGCTTTGTGATCTCTTGCTCCAGCCATTGGAACTGATTCAGCTGAAAGGCAAAGAGGAGAGACCACTCAAGGCACTATCCATTGTACAACCCAATAAGAATGAAAACATTTGGTAGTCTTTAAATCACCCCCCGGCAGTCACTTAACAGAAACAGAGACTTCATTCTCACATTGCAACAAACTTTTCTCTGGGACAAGCATTAACGTGGCTGACAGCCATGCGTATGTTCTCCTTCCCACCTCCCCCTCGTTTATGCAGTGCGAAGGAAGGCCTCCCAGTGCCAGAAGTATCAAAATCAAACTTATTTGCTGTGATGTTGGAATGGGTTAACTGGGGTTTGTTTCCTCATGATGAACCAGGATTAAGGTTTGTTGTGGTGTCTGAATGCAACCGTACCCTTCCTAACCACAGCCTGGCACAATAATAGAGACTTAAATGTCTAAGAAACGCCAAACGCATTTTGGCAATTTGAGATATTTAAGGTCAGTTCTTCTATGCACGCTCCTATGTCAACAATCTGCTCTCTCAAAGTCTTGCTTTCCCACCTAGACATACCAGGCATTCTTGGCCAGTCTAGTACATTTTCCCAGTTCAGAGTCAGCATCTCTTTTTGGATTTCCAACCATATTTTGGTACTGCCCTTCTGACTCCTACCTGATGATGCTCCAGCTGCATTTTGCTCTGCTTGATGATATTTTCTTTTTCCAGAAGCTCCTTCTGCTGCCGTTCAAACTCCTCCTTGCCCTAATCAGAGAACATTAAAGGAAATCATTTGAACAAATCAGGACACCAAAATATGCCTATTGAGATATTCGGTCAACCACTAGCTATAGTTATTACACAACAGGCATTTCGTCGTGTCCATATGCCAGCTTTATTACCAGCTACGAGGAGGAAGAGGAGAAAACCAAGACCTCACAATCAGATCTGTTCTTGATAAAAAGATAGTGTGCGATCAGTTTCTAATTCCACCAAGCACTGAAGCAGGGAAGGGGGGTAGGGAGAGAGAGAAATGGTTTGACTCACCGGGGGGGGGGGCATTTATTATTAATTGTCCCCACTCTCCCATCTTTCCTCCATGGAACTCAAGGCAGTAATATTATGGGTTCCCAGGCAGTTCTCCCATCGACCTGCTTAGTTTCAGCAAGGTTGCTACATCACATGCTTCAGACCATAGCCAAGAGCGGGGGCCATGCGTCTGGAGCTCCCCTTTCCTGTTCCCACTGAGGAGTTTCAGCAGGAGATGGAGGAAGGGAGAGCAACCGAAGCCATCTATGTCATACTCCAGGAAGCTGCAATGTGGAAGGGTGGACAGTGCTGTGGGATGCCCCCCCCCTTTCCCTGCAGAACCTGAGCAAAGCCGGATGAGTCTAGAGGAAAGTCACTGACTATTAGTTAAGATATAAGGGGAAAGCGTAAGGGCTATAAGCCTAAGTTTCACCCAGGCTGGAAATTTCTCTGAAGGGTCCTGTCAATGAGATGGCTTGTGTGGGCTTTGCAGTTTAGAAAACCCCTCTGCCTACTACACTGTGCTTATCTTTTGGGACACAAGTGAGTACCTATCTAGCACCTTGTTGGGATCTTGCAAATGTGACTCCCTTCAGTTAGTTCAGTTGTTTATGCACGCTTATTCTTAGCTAGTTAGCTTAGAATCAATTAGGTGCTAGGCACGCATTTCCCGCCAGAGAAAAGGAGGTATCATTCCCAAGGATATGAGCTGTAGTCTTAGGGTTGCCAGGTGCCTTTCGCCCACCAGTGGGGTGATGGGGAGAATATTCCGGGAGTGGGACATGACATCGCCCCCCCATCCCCGCTGAAACAATGACACCACACGTGACGTGCCTGCCTCACCCGGAAGTGATGTCGGGGTGGCACTCTGGACTTTGGGCAAAACTCTACGATAAAATGAGCATCAAACCATAGAGTTTTGCACAAAAGCCAGAGCGTCACCCCCCCCCATGTCACCAACGTCACTTCCGGGTGACGCAAACGTATCACATGCTACGTTGCTGTTGGGGGGGTTCCCTTCTGCCGGCCAGCAGCAGGCAGGAGCCTGCAAAATCGGGATCCCCTGCCCCCACCAGGCAAATGACAAGCCTATGCAGTCTGCCCATTGGCTGATCAATAATGTGATGGTGGTGGGGGGCATGCTGTTTGTCACAGACCACAAAGGGATGAACTTTCTCTCTGTTCTCACTCTCATGCACAAGCTTTAGCAAACAAACTAGCAAGATGTAGGACTTGAAAGCTGGTCAGGATTGTGTTGCTTTAATTCCATGTAACCCCTCCCCTCTATTTGTCTAGGGAACTTTTCTTAAAGCCAAGGACGCAGGTGTGCTGCATTACTTACTACACTGCTAACAGTATCCAACAAACCTATTTATCCTGCCTTTCCTCCAGGGTGCTCTAGATGACCTTTTCCCATTTTATCTTCACCAGTATCCTGATCCTCAGGAATAAGTTTAGGCTACGAGAGAGTAACTGGACCAAGGTCCCCCCAGGAAGCTTCCTGGCAGAGTGGGGATTTGACCCTCCCAGACCCTAGCCCAGAACACTAACCTCGGTGCAATGAATGACCAACCACCCTGGTCTGCAAGTCCTAGCATTATAAGGGTTGTTGGTCACTCATTAGCACTGAGGTTAGAGCTCTGGGCTAGGATCTGGGAGGTTCAAATCCCCACTCTGCCTGGAAGCACTGGCCAGAGGAAGTACATCCTCAAACAAAACACTGTTAACCTTATGGCTACCACAGAATTGACAGTAGCTTATAATATATATGCTTTAAGAAAAGCTTAGAGAAATTCATGGTCGTTAGCCATGACCACTAAATGGAAGGAGGAGACTGGATTTATACCCTGCCCTTCACTACCCAAAGGAGTCTCAGAGCGGCTTACAAACTCCTTTCCCTTCCCCTCCCCACAACAGACACCCTGTGAAGTAGGTGGGGCTGAGAGGGCTCTTTCGAGAACAGCTCTGAGAGAACTTGTGACTGAGCACAAGCTCACACCAGCAGCTGCATGTGGAGGAGTGGGGAATCAAACTCGCTTCTCCCAGATTAGAGTCCACGCTCCTGACCACTACACCAAACTGGAACCTCCATATAGATAATCCTGGGGGGAAACAGCCCCGCTTTGCAAGCTTCCCAGACACCCAACTCCACCTCCTGGAGACAGAAGTACGGATCATGGCTTAATCCAGTAGGCGCATTCTTGCGTGTGAAAGGCAGAATTGCATAGTGATTAGTGTGTCAGACTCGGATTTGGGGAACCCTGTAAGAATCCCACTCTGCCACGGAAGCTTGCTAGGTGAGTCTTGGGGCGCTCGCACACTCTCAGCTTAACCTACACCACAGGGCTGTTGGACGAAGAAAATGGAGGTAATCCTCTTTGGGTCCCCACTGGGGAGAAAGGTGGGCTATAAATGCAGCAAGTAAATAAACTGCGTGGAACAAACCTGCAAATGCACATAATCATAATCATCCATCCAGCTCTTTTCAGAGCCATTGCTGCTGCACTGGTAATGCTGGTCTTTAGACAGAAGCGGCAACAAAGAACTGCAGTGCTCCTGGCTTTTGTCTCCGAGGTGAAATGCCGTCTGGGCTTGAGGACTGTCGTACACGTAATCCACAGAGGGCCCCAGGCTTTCCGGTGCACTCTTTCCGGGCACGTCGCAAGGCATCTGTCTGAAAAGCGCTTCGGCATTGACGCTGATGCTGGTGGTCAGCTGCTTAGCGTCATCCGGGATTGTCCTCACCACCATAACAAACCGGTCCAGATCATCGCATTTGTTCTGCGGCTTGTTGATAGCGAGGACGTTCAGGGACCAGCTGCAGTTGCTGAGGTCGTGGCTGGTCTGGGTTAAAATCTGATGGGAGTCTTCCAGCCTTTGCAGCTCCCGTCTCATTTTGTTGTAGAGGCTGAGCTCGGGGACAAAGGAAGCGTTGGCCGTCGCTCCCTTGGCAAAGCTCAGGTAGTCGACCAGCGACTGCTCTACCTTGTCGACGGCAGTGCGGATCTGGTTGATGTGCTTCTCCATGGACTCGTAAGACCGCCAGTCTGGGCCAACGAAGGCCATTAAACCGGAGACGGTGGTCTCCACGGCATGTTGATGCCAGTAAAGTCTCTCTATGGCTGTGTCGGGATCCAGCACCAGCCTTTTGTCCTGAGAAGGAGAAGCTGAAAAAGAAGATTCCTTTGACGTTGTGGAAGAGGTGGACATGTTACTCCTGGTGCTTCCCGTACTGGAAAAAGATAACCTGTTCATCCCGTCGGTCACGTCCTGCAGTCTTTTAGTATCCTGCGTGACCTGCGGAGGCACATCATAGACTCCCTCTTTCCCCTTTAGACCATCAATGAATCCCAGGTGCTGTCCAGGGAAAGGGACTCCTCGAGGAGTGTCGTAGACGTCTGTCTGGGGAGCCATTTGCTGCCCCATGAACTGAGTCTGATGGCTCACTGGGACATCATACAGCCCATGTTTGTGTGGCGTTCCTTCAGAAGCGGAGGGTGGGCTGCAAAGGCACTTTTGTCCACCTTCTTTTGCAGCTGCTTTGGCAACGGGAGGAGGAACATCGTACACGCCTTCTGGTCTCATATCATGCTTTACGCAAGCAGCCAATTCGGACAAATGTTCCCTGGAATCTGTGTCATCTCTGCAGGCAGACGGGGAGACGGCATAGTTCTAGAAGGCAAAATGCAAAGTTTTGAGTCATCACTGTCCCCAGATGGGGAATACTGTAATGGAAAGTAATTTGATTGGTGATGTTGATATATTTGCATAAATCAGCATGCTATCTAGATGGCAAATGCGCATGATACCATTATGGTGTGATCCCTGGTTTTGTGTGTTTGTGCCCCACATTGCACCAGTAATGCCGGTATACAAACTACACGGGCCATGTGAACGACATGTATACTTTTCAGTTCCTAGGGAACGGCTGGTGTGTTGCCATGAAAGCAATCACACCAATGCTAACCAGAGTGCTGTGTGATCTGATCACCAAATGTGCTGCAGTGCACAGCCAAGAATGGCATACTAAGCATCACTGCTGTGAGACCGACAGTCATCCTGTACAAAGTGTGGGCACAGAGGCGTCATCTGGTTTCACACACAGGTAGGCAGCTGCCAGGGGTGCTCTGAGTTTGTGTGATCCATCCACTGTCCCCACCAGAGACCTGATAATGGTATGGATGTTTGGGAGGGGGAGGTTGCAATGTGGCATTGGAGAGTAGCTCCATAGGCGTCATGGACCAGAATACAGACTCTTCATCATCAGATGGAGGCTGGAGCCTAGAGGAGGAGGCAGCTGGGCACCTAACACTGCCACAGAAGAAGGCACTTAGGCAGGCCTGTAACTACAAAGGGGCATTTCGGGGCAATGCCCTCCACAGATGAGTGTTGCCCCCTCAAACAAACAAAAATACAATATGAAAAAAAAATTAAATGTAAGATGCGCATGGGGTTTCCAAAATGACAGGGAAGCTTCAGTCTCATTTTCTTTTTTCCAGGCTAAAAAATAAACAGGTTTCTAAAAATGCAAATCAAATCAAATCAAATTGCAAGAGAGAGAGAGTCGGCTTTCCTGGCTTCCACCGAAAAGCAGCCTGGGATTGAGTCTCTCCAATCGAAAGGACTAGAAGACGACTAGAGGTCACAACAGAGTTGGAGCTGCTGCTTCTGCTGCTGCAAAGAGCAGCAGCAAGTGCCATGGGGGCACCCTGCCTTTTCCTATGCCCCACCAACCACAATTTTCTGGCTATGCCCCTCGCATTTAGGACATTTCCAGGAGTCCCAAGTCTCTGAGCCAGACTGTTCAAACAGCCCTGCATCCAGACTCAGATCCTGGACTCTTCACCCCAGAACCTGCTGCTACTGCTGCGCCATTCCCCAACCAACCTCACCAACCTCCCCGAGCCCTGAACCACCTCAGCACCACCCATTGCACTACTTGCTTCTGTAAACAGGCACGGGACCTTTGAATACTAGTGGTCTGTATCTTCACCTCCTTGCAGTAGTATTTAAGGGCCTCAATTCACCACCCCGCCTTTCCCGGAACAATATCCATGATGACACACTGTGGGCTCCGGCTCTTGCCTGGACCCCTAGGTCACATCCCTGAATAAGACACCACCTGAAGAATTAACCACAACTGCTTTAAGGGACTGGACTGACCTCTGTAGTTACACAAAATCTAAGAGTGTCGTGAATTCACACAGCGGGTAGTTCTGGATACCCGTGCCTGGACGAATGTGGTAGCTTGACTACAGATTTCAGATTCTGAAGTTCCGTGGCTGTGTTTGCCTCCACCATAGTACCAACAAGAAGGAAGTGTAGGAATAGCAGCTAAGGGTTAACTTCTGTCTCCAAAATCATGAATAATATAGGATGGGATGTCCAAGGCCAACTCTGCTTCTTGTACTTTAGAGGAACCGGCGCACATCTGTAGCAAAGGTGTTGCTTCTCAGTACAGTGCAGATCACACAAATCAGTTGCACATAAGTGTGCATCTGGATCTAACATTGCAAATCACACAAATCAGTTGCACATAAGTATGCATCTGGATCTAACATTGTGGATTTGCACTTGTGGCCTCAGAGAAACCACAGCCCGTTGTAGCCACGCTGATCAACTCGTCTCAGGTAAAGCAGATACTGTGAAAGGTTGGGGGCTGAAAGTGCATTTGATGCCTCTTTTCCCTTTTCACTGCACCCTGTGCTAAAAACAGAAACGCATACAATCTTTCCAAAAACCATCTGCACTTTACATTAGAATTAATAAAACACCATGTTAATGTCAGAAACCAAAAGACGAAGTGGCTTCATTTGCAAAATACAGCCTTCCTTCTGCAGACAGAATGCTCCTTGGGTTGGTTTGTTTGTTTTGGTGTGGGCTTTAGACATTGACTTAGTGAGATTCGGGGGGGGGGGCGGTTGGCAACACAGTCTTTCAGCACCTGAGCTGGGGCGATAAGTATTCCTTGCTGCTTTGGGGTAGATGCACCCCAACCAATCTGGTTCGGTCTGCCTGGGAAATGAGAGGAGGAGGAAGGGAATCAATGAGCTACTTGACCTGACATGGATAGCCCAGGCTAGGCAGAGCTTGTCAGATCTCGGAACTAAGCAGGGTCAACTAGCTAGTATTTGGATGTGAGACCGCCAAGGAATACCAGGGTCATGACGCAGAGGCAAGGAATCGCAAACCTCCTCTGAATGTCTCTTGCCTTGAAAAACGTACTGGTTCACCATAAGTCAGCTGTGACTTTTACATACACACACACACACAGATTTGCAGGTCTAAAGGACAATTAGATCCAGCCACTGAAGTCAATGGCTCAGGAAGCAGAATGCAGGGAACTCCCAAACTAACAAAATGACTTGGTGTGTGTGGGTGGGGCAATGTTCCCTCTAAGCTGTGGAGTCTTGTGAGCAAAAATTCTACTTTGTGAGCGACTGGCATTAAAGTTGTGAGCCAGCGATTTGGCTCCTGCATCAATTAGTTTGCTCTGGAGCCATCCCTTCCTGAGCTCAGACAAAAATGTGTGAGCCGGAGGCTAAAAAACTGTGAGCTAGCTCACACTGACTCAGCTTAGAGGGAACACTGGTGTGGGGTTACGTTTGCAATGATCAGTTGTCCACTTTGTCATGAAAGGGAGCCAATAACTTCAAACTCTGAAACACTGCACTATTTGTTGGTGCTCACATGTCCCCTTTCCCAATTATTTCCATTGCCCCCGCCCATAAAAAGGGCCTGTGTATAGCTCTGAACTATAATTACACCACCTTGCATAAAACTAGTAATTACATTCTGAACTTTATCACAGTTTTTATTTTTTAAAAAATATATGAGTTACAAGCTTGAGGGGGAATGCTTAAAAGGCTAGAGAGTTCAAAGCATGACTTGCTCTCTCTCTCTCTCGCTCTCTCTCTCTTCCCACCTTCGTTTTAGTGCAGAAGGGCATTTTTGTTGAAACATGCCCTTCATCTAGCAAGAAAGCACACGTTTGCTTTAAATCAAACGGCAATCCACTTACCCCTTTTGTGGGAGGAACGTCGTACACCCCTTGGGATTTCGGGTCTCCGGCTTGAGTGGCCTGTGCGGGACCTTTAAACGACGACGCAGGGGGGACATCATAGATCTAAACAGAGAGCGAATGAATCACACAAAACAGAACATCATTGTAACTGTGCATTTCAGATGGACCCCCTTCCTTCCTTAGCAACCGGCATGAATTTACTTGGCAGTTTCTGTTACAGACAGGATGAGGCGGGGGACATTACTTTTTTTGTTTCTTAAACTTTTAAACACTCAGGTGTGCCCCATGAGGCTTCCAGACAGGATTGGCAACCTCCAAGTGGTGGCTGGAGATCTCCTGGGATTAGAGATCAATTCACCTTCGGGTTGCCAAATTTTCCTGATTTCAGGCCCCCCAAACCACCACCGGCCAGCTGGCTGGTGGGGGGAGCACGCCCCCGAAGAGCCCCGGTGACATCATCGCAACGGGTACGTTGCGTGGGGGGCACTCTAGCATTCGGCTAAAAACTCTATGGTGACCGTAGAGTTTTTAGCCAAATGCTAGAGCGTCCCCTGTACAATGTGCCCAGCACAATGGTGTCACTTCCCGGTGACCCACAGGACTAAGCCAGGAGACCTGGCAACCCTAGTTCACCTGGAAAAATGGCTGCTTTGGAAGGTGGACTCTATGGCATTATATCCCATTTAAGTCCCTCCCCTTTCCCAAACCCCGTCCTCCTCAGGCTCCAGACCCCAAATATCTCCAGATATTTCCCAACCCAGAGCTGGCAACCCTACTTCCAGACCTTTTACATTCTTTCCTAAAAAACAGTATATGAGACCAGATCTTTTATTCTTCTGGAAAAGAATGATACAGTTCTGGGCTGCTCAACTCACAGGGCCATATGTTCACGGCCACAGTATATAACCAGAAGAATCAAGCAGTAAAGCCGATCCTGATTTAGGATACCAGGGGAAGGCAGTAAGTCTGACTGCTGCTCCAAAGCAAGAGTCATGCACATAAGAGCTTGTGTGGTTAGTGTGCCGGATTAGGACTGGGGAGAACCAGGTTCAAATTCCCACCCATCATGAAAATGACTTGGGTGGCCACGGGCCAGTTACTATTTCTCAGCCTAACCAACCTCAGTGAGTTGTTGTGAAGCCAGATTTGAGGACAACATCATAATATGTGGCAATTGCCTTTTGTACCTGGATTGTGCCTTGGGCACCGAGCTCTTCGCTTGCCTTTATGCTTTTAGGAGCAAGCTCCCCCGCAGCAACTGTGATGCTGCGCTCAGAGCATTTCCGCATTAAGTGGAGCGGAGCTGCCAAGCTGCAAGAGCCAGGGGCCATGCCACGCATGACACAGAGGCAAATCCGAGTTTCCCACCAGGAGATCACACTCCACAGCAAACGGCAGTCAACCCAGGGCTCTCTCCGGAGGCCATTTTAGAGGCACGTTCTGAAGTTTGCATCGTTAAAAAAGTGCTTGTGAGAAGTAACCTTTAGCTGAGGAAGATGCAAAGCCGGATTCAGATCCTGCTCAGTGATAAAGCTCACTGGATGGCTTGGAGCAACTTTATGACGTCATTTGGCATGAATCATCTCTTCGATATGCCATACCCCAAAATATGCCAGGATCACTCAGGAAAGAAATCCAAACAAATGAAAGGACTCAGACCCAATTCTGCCCAGGCATACCCTTTAACATTTATGATTTATCTCAGAGATGCGGCCAACCCTCCCGTCTCCACTGAAGTGGGAACGCAGCTGCTGAAAGTAACTGATGCCTAATCCCTAGCAATTTTCATGAGGTGTGAATTGGCTCCCCCACCCTGCCATCACCCTTACTTCCATTCCACTAAGATCAGCACACATGTACTCCCGCTTCCAGTACCTCAGAGTGGAGACAGAGAAGCTGTCAGGTGGATTCCTTTTTGTTTCTTTCTGCTGTGCGCTCTGTGCGGGGGGGGGGGAAGCCCCCAAGAAAGCCAGACAGGAGGAGACTCAAGCCTTCTACACTGGGAAGTCTGAAGGTATTGATCCCTCACCCAGTAAGAGGAAGACGTGTGGCTTCTCTCTCTCAGAATTGCTTCACATTGAATTAACAGAGATGTGCCCAGGGCCTTTTTTGTAGAAAAAGCCCAGCAGGAACTCATTAGCATAATAGACCACACCCAACAGCAAAAACTCATTAGCATATTAGGCCACACCCCTGGCAACACATCTCATTAGCATACCAGGCCGCACCCCCATGTTACCAGAAGTGTAGTCATCCAGCCACACCCACCTTTTGCTTCTTATTCTGTTCCAGGGCTTTTTTTGTAGCAGGAACTCCTTTGCATGTTAGACCACACACCCCTAATGTAGCCAATCCTAATGAGTTTCTGCTGTTGGGTGTGGCCTATTATGCTAATGAGTTCCTGCTGGGCGTGGCCAACTCGGGAGCCAGCTGGAACTCCGTTCCTGTGCGTTCCTGCCCCAAAATAGCCCTGCACGTGCCTGTAAACTGTGTGCAGTCAGAGGCTCCCACCAGGAGGGAAGGCAGCCCGGTATAGCCTGAGCTCGTCAGATCTTGAAAGCTACTTCGAAGGGGGGCCACCAGACCCCTCACCATCCTCCTGGCCCCGATCTGTACTTTGGGAATAGATAAAATGGCAAGTTCTTTTTTCCCCGTCACTTCATTTTGGTGCCGTTGACAGTTTTATTGGTACTTACCCCTTGGAGAGGACGGACTGGTGGGATGTCGTAGGTATCCTTCTGGTATTTGGAAGGGAACTCGTAAACATAACCTTGTCCTGACCTGACTGGAGTTACTACCTGTGGGTTGAAAGAGAAAGACAGGAAAACATAAATAGTGAGGCCCTTGGCCAGTCTAAGGCTGAGCTCATTAGGAATCTCTAGACAAACATTAATTTTAGTGATTGACACATTTGATCTAGCAAGTATTGCTAGTGAAAGTGGGGCCGGGAACCACATTTTTGGCAATAAAATACACAAACCCAAATTAGTCAATGGCGGTAAAGCTCACCTCCTCTCCCCTCACTTTAAATGGACCTGCCATTACTTACCTCTGACTACATCTGCATAGGATTAGTTGGTCGATCAGATACTCCCAAGGGGCACTGGCTAACCTCCCCCGGTCCGCATGCGCCCATGTGTGCAGAAGCCTGTGTTTGGCAACATCATTTAAAGTCACAGCCAATGTCTGTGTGCGATGGGCAGGGGCCGTGGCTCAGTGGCAGAGCATCTGCTTGGCATGCAGGAGGTCCCTGGTTCAGTCCCCAGCATCTCCAGGTGAAAGGATCGGGTGGCAAGTGATGCAAAAGACCTCTGCCTGAGACGCTGGACAGCTGCTGCAGCCTGAACAGACAGCACTGGCCTTGACAGACCAACGGTCTGATTCAGTACAAGGCAGCTTCATGTCCAGGGCAGCTGTGGCACTGTGTGAGAGGGTTGTCAACCTCCAGGTGGGGCCTGAAGATCTCCTGGGATTACAAGTGATCTCCAGACAGCATAGATCAATTCTCCTATTGGAAATGACTGCTCTGGAGGGTGGACTGTATGGCATTACACCCAGCTGAGGTCTGTCCCCTCCCCTCCCCAAACCCCACCCTCCCTAGGCTCCACCCCCCCGAGATGTAAAATTTCCAAAGATTTTGAAGCTCAGAAAAAAAAACCTGTTTTTTCCCCATTTTTTTCCGGAAAAAACTGAAATTTTTGGGAAAATTGAAAAAAAATGTTGCATTAGCATTTATTTTGTCTTTTCTAGATTGAAAGTCATTCTGTTACTTTAGGAACATAAAATATGACTATGGATATTTTTACTTGGCATGAAATTATCACAACTAGCCTATTAAAAATATAGCGTATCCAAACAATTATTACAAACAAGAATACCCACCCACATGCAAAAGCAAAACTGAAACCTTTTTATTTTCTTCTGACAATCGCACCTCCTAAAGGAAGAAATGCATCTTGTTCTTGCATTGGAGAGTTCAGTTTGTAACCTAGGACTTGCTTGTCCTCAGTGCACAGAAATTAGATCAATCTGATACCATATATAATATATTAGAAATGATTTGGAAAATATTTGAACACCTTGTCTTAAAATATTTTATTCATCATGTTAAAATAAAACGTTCCATAATCATTTTTTTCTTTTCTTTTTTCAAATTTTCCAATTTTTCGGGGGGGGGAAAGGCTTCAGGAAAAAGGGGGGGGGGACGGTTTTTTTCCAAATTTTTCCGTTTTTTTTCCGGGCCTTTACATCTCTACCTGGAGTTGGCAACTCTACTGTGTGAAGAAGGTATATTAAGGAACACGTGTATCATGCATTCACAGTAATAAGACAGCCAGAATTGGCCATAGCGCCTTACTGAGTATCGACTATGCTAAGGTATTCAAGAGGCAGGAAAGATCCCAGACTCTTAGTTATGGTCTTTTCTGCCTCTATAGTTTCAAATGAATCTTGAAACAAATGCATCTGCATCCAGCATGAATATCTGCATAGAAAACTTTCAGTTCAGTGTGATTATATTTTAAAGCCATTGATAAACAGAATTTATAGCAGACACTGATATTCCCTGAACTCTAAATGTTACTTAGCTACACAATGTTCCAGTCCAATCCTATCCAGAGTTAATCTACTCTAAGACGATTTATTTCATTCCTCCCCCACCCCGAGTTGGCTGCCCTTTTTAAATTATTTTTTAAAAAATATTAAAACACATGAACAATGAAAGGAAATATAAGATACCAAGATACATAAAACATATAACCATCCCTTTCTCCCTTACAACCATGGACATGAACATCCTACCCCAGTGTATTAATTATGGTATTCAGTCTATTCTGTTGCCAGTTCCATTCTCTGTATAGCTTCTGACCACAGTAGGCCTAACCCACATGTGTCTCTGCTTTTCTGATAGACGTTAATTTCACAATGTTTTTCAACAACCAGTCTTGTAAGTTAGGAGTGGTTTTTTGTTGTTGTTTCCATTGCCTTGCAAAGACCAACCTGTAACCATTAACAGGTCACTAGGGACAACAGGCTGATAATTTAGCAGAAGTGTCTCTGGCTTGTAGGGTATCTGTTTTCTCCACCCAGCAGATCTAATTTTCACAACTTGTGTCCAATAGCTGGAGGCACACGCATATGTCCACCACATTTGAACAAAGTCTGCCTCATATTTCAGTGGGTTTCTGCTGGAGTAATAACTCTACATAGGATTGGTCTGCAACTCTATCAACACAGATCTGTCAAATCTGCCTATTGGTCAATTTTCTAAAAAGAGCTGCAAGGCAGACCCCCCCCCCCGATATCTTATTGCTTTCCAGAGTCCTTGTGGGTGCAGAAATCATGTGTGTGTGTGTGCACATATACATGCGCATACTTTGTACACACATAAAGCGGCCTTTATACTGAATCAGACCATTGGTCCATCGAAGCTAGTATTGGCTCTCCAGGTCTCAGGCAGATCTATTACGTTGGAATGCCGGGAACTGAACTTGGGACCTTCTGCATGCCAAACAGATGCTCTACCCCTGAGCCACGGAGGGCTAAGTCATCTCAGCGTTCTGCTCCTCCTCGAGTGTCCAAATAGTTTTGCAGCAGCATTCCCACCCCCATAAATGATAAATCAAATGAGCAAAACTTTCAGCCCAGAACTTTCAACGACAAGCGTATTATTAGCCTCACCTATTAATACCAAATGCTCAGTATACTTGTAGCAATAATGCATGGGTGAAAAAATGACTTCTTTTAAAAAAAACCACCGCTTTATGATCAGTCTCCCAGGGTCTCTTAACTTGCAGCAGTTCTGCTTGACATAAATAACCGGTCCCTGAGGAGTTACAAACTACCCTGCAGGAGAACAGAGAGGGCAAATGAGAAACAAAAGGCTCTTCCCAAGGCGCCCTTAAACTTTAATCTTCTCTCTAAAGTGCAGAGTTTGGCATCAGGCTGCCTATGTGAACTAAAGAGAAAATGCTCAGTCATATGGACTTCTCTGGAATGGGGCCAAAGGCATCACTAAAGCGCATACATACTGCTGGTATGCATGTTAAATGGCAGGAAATCGAATTTTCCCCCCCTGCTTAAGCAGATTATTTTTACACAGCAATTCAGTAATGGGGGAGGAGGAAACGGCCCTAGTATACATAAAGCACACAGTCCCTTCTTGTTGCTTCTGCCTAGGTGGAGCTGCACACAAGCAAACGTTTTAGAAGGCTGGCCTTTCCCATGGGCTGGACCGGCTGCCTATGACTTCCTTTGGCCCAAAGCTTGCTGCATGGACATTTTCTGTTGGCAGCTCCTCAACGTGGTCAGCTGCACACAGAACACACAATTACGTGGATAATTCTTTATAGTTTTCCTTTGATTTTTTTTAAACTATACACACACATACAAAGTCATAGTGGAGGTGGTAATTAGTGGCTGAAGAAAAAGAACACTGCCCCAATCCGGCAGGGGAGGCAGACGAATTTCTGCATGCTTCCAGCCTTCTCCTGACAGCCAGGTTGGTTAGCAGCACGGACTCTGATCTGGGAGAACCGGGTTCGATGCCCCACTCCTCCAGATACAGCTGCTGGTGTGACCTTGGGTCAGTTACAAGTTCTCTCAGAGCTGGTCTCTCACCAGCAGTTCTCGAGAGAGAGAGAGAGCTCTCTCAGCCCCACCTACTTCAGATGGTGTCTGTTGTGGGGCGGGGAAGGGAAAGGAGAGGGTAAACCGCTCTGAGACTCCTTCTGGTAGTGAAGGGCGGGGTATAAATCCAATCTCTTCTACTACTACTACCTTTCTTGCTGGATCAGGAACCCTGAACATGTGGATGTGGATGCGATGTAATGCCCACGTGCACTGCGGACAGAGATGCATTTCTTCATACAGGTAAGTGTAACTAGGATTTCCCTATAAAAGTCCATGCAAGAGTACAGGAGGGAGCTTGCCTTCCCCTGGGATACACAAGTACAGGAGGCCCAGCAGCCACTCCTGAGCCAGCACCAGTTCTGCGTAATATACATACCTCTGATGGATGGAGGGAACTTATGACCTGGTTCTATAACCTGCTGCTCCCACACCACAGCTTCTGATACAGCATCTGGCCAAAAGTCCACCATATTCGTGCATCCTCATTGTCATCAACAGTGTGCAAACCATCATTTTTCTTTCGTTTATGTATCAATGTGCCCCCTAACACCCCCCCCCCAAGTGGGGCAGTTCACATCCTGAGCAGAATATAACTACTGTAACCTTAAGACGGGCAACGGGCAGTGCGAGACCCTGGGCGGCTCCAAACTGCTGCTGAGCCGGGCTTCCTGTGTTAACAAGTCGCTGCTCACACGCACGGCCTAGAGGGAACGCTGGTAACATTATCTGTGCTGCATTCCCAGTGAGCGAGTATGGTGGGTTATAGTGAAATCTAATGCCTCTTTTAGTATAAGGAGTCCATTAGAACATGAGGTATGGCCACAAACAGAGCAGCACTTCCCGCTCATGGGGTTCAGGAACCAAGAGAGCATTCTCAAGACCCAACCTAGAATCCACAGCTATATCTCCAGTTCCCACCATGTTGTGTGGTTAATGGCTTATTAAATTAGGGTTGCCAGACCCCTGGTCAGGATGGGTTCCCCCCCCCAATTTCGGGGGCTTCAATCCACTGCTGGCCAGCTGGCCGGCAGGGGGAGTCCCACCCTGAACAGCCCCCTCCTGCACTGACATGGTTGACATGATGACATCACCGGGAAGTGACATCATCACGCCGGACATGTCAATGCATCGACGCTCTAGTATTTTGGCCGAAATGCTATGGTCACCA